CATAACTCTGTATATCACAACATGTTTATACACATAACTCTGTATATCACAACATGTTTATACACATAACTCTGTATATCACAACATGGCTATACACATAACTCTGTATATCACAACATGTTTATACACATAACTCTGTATATCACAACATGTTTATACACATAACTCTGTATATCACAACATGGCTATTCACATAACTCTGTATATCACAACATGTTGATACACACAGCTCTGTATATCACAACATGTCTATACACATAACTCTGTATATCACAACATGGTTATACACGTAACTCTGTATATCACAACATTATACACGTAACTCCGTATATCACAACATGTTTATACACATAACTCCGTATATCACAACATGGTTATACACGTAACTCTGTATATCACAACATGGTTATACACATAACCCTGTATATCACAACATGGTTATACACGTAACTCTGTATATCACAACATTATACACGTAACTCCGTATATCACAACATGTTTATACACATAACTCTGTATATCACAACATGGTTATACACGTAACTCTGTATATCACAACATGGTTATACATATATCTCTGTATATCACAATAAATAATAGCTAATTCAATATTTAACTTTATGTTTAGCTAAAAAGAAATTTATAAAAAAGTCCTGTTTTATTATTGGCTAAAAGGAATGAATAGGTTAATGCTCAGACTATGAATTTGACGATTCATGGCTCGCGCCCCTCTGCCGCAAAAACGCACTCTGTATCCTAGATGTGCTGTAAGGGTAACACAACAAAGGGGGGGTCTGTTCACTTGCTGCTTTCTCTATTATTTGACTCTCCCCGCCCCCCGATGGCTCACAGGTAGTTGTTGACCCACCAGTAAAAGTACATCTTACGACACTCGCGGTAGGCACAACACAGATATCACATTTTTGTACAATATAACAATAAACATCAAATCATGCTTAGTAAAAGCGGCTAAATAAACAGGGTAAAAGTTCAATTTGTTTAAGAACAAAGCTACATTAGGCTATCTGGAAATCGAACCTCGGATTTTAGTGTTGCAAGTTCACAAACTTACCGCTGTCCTATTGTGGTTCAGAGTAAAAAGAATAAGAAAACAATTTGAAGGTCTGAAATAGTCTGATCATAAATAAAGCTAATAGTCTGATCATAAATAAAGCTAATTATTACTTATGTTGGAGATGGAAATGTCTACTCAATCATCTGTCAAAGCAAAAGAAACACATCATCTGTCAAAGAGCAAACCGAAACAAAATCAATATATTAAACTCCTGTAGCGGATTGCCATCCTCTTGGGGACATTTTCTATAATTATATAAGAGTAAGAGAAACACATCATCTGTCAAAGAGCAAACCGAAACAAAATCAATATATTAAACTTCTGTAGCGGATTGCCATCCTCTTGGGGACATTTTCTATAATTATATAAGAGCAAGAGAAACACATCATCTGTCAAAGAGCAAACCGAAACAAAATCAATATATTAAACTCCTGTAGCGGATTGCCATCCTCTTGGGGACATTTTCTATAATTATATAAGAGCAAGAGAAACACATCATCTGTCAGATTAGGTAACCAGGAAAATATCACTGATAAGAAACTATAAATGATAAACTAGCTCTTTCTTCTCACCTGTTGTTTCTTCTTTCGTATGATCCACGATAGGACCGGTGTTTTCAGTAGGTGCAGGACCAGTTCTTCTCACCCAGTCTACATCATCTTCTTCATCGTGTGCAAATCCACACAAACTTTCTTCAAAATCACAAGTTTGAACGTTCGATTTATCTGGGTGTTAAATTCAACCATAAACGTGACGTCTCGGTATAAAAAACAAAGAACAACCGTTTCAGGAAATAGTTATAGAAGTTATTGATTTTCTAGATAGATTCTGAGACGTCATTTTTATTTGTAGGAATTCATTTTTGGATTTTTCCGTTTAAATTGTAATATAAAACCTGTTAGGTCTTGTTGTTAGACAGACGGAGACTGAGGTGGCGGAGACTGAGGTGGTTATATATATCTCAAACTGTTACGTGTAAATTGTAATATAAAACCTGTTAGGTCTTGTTGTTTGCCAGACGGAGACTGAGGTGGTTATATATATCTCAAACTGTTACGTGTAAATTGTAATATAAAACCTGTTAGGTCTTGTTGTTTGCCAGATAGAGACTGAGGTGGTTTTATATCTCAAACTGTTACGTGTAAATTGTAATATAAAACCTGCTAGGTCTTGTTGTTAGCCAGACGGAGACTGAGGTGGTTATATATATATCTCAAACTGTTACGTGTAAATTGTAATATAAAACCTGCTAGGTCTTGTTGTTA